CTCGTGGGATCCCCTGAGCGGTGGCCAAACTCGAGCCCCCGCTCCTTGCAGCCTAAAGCCGGGTCCCGGGCGACGCCAGCCCCCAGCCCGCCCGCCCCGTTCGGATGCCTACCCGAGGCCAACCTCCTCCCAGGCGGTGTCGCTGTCCCCGGGCTGCTCCGGTGGAGGGGCCTCCCTCCTTAGAGCACTGTCAGGAAGGGCTTACAATCGAGTCCTTCCTCTGTCCCTTTGAGATGCGTATGTATAACTTACAACTCAGAAATGCCCTTCTCAAGGACCCCAAGCCATTCCTTTGAAAGGTCATCAAGAAGGACAGGGCTTGTCCCCGGGATCTCTGTGGGAGGACAGAATCCTCCCTTCAGTAACTGCCCCCTAGGGACATAGCTGGCCTAACCCCATTCACACCCAGCAACCCTCCCTCATTCTCGAAGCCCCTGCCCTGTCCTCTTCCCGGCTCCGGGATTCGCCCTTTACAAAGCCCGGTCACCTGGGCAAATGCGATGGAGCTCAGCCCTCTCTGGAACTGTCCCTAACGGTTACTGAGCCCCATCGGCCTTCGCTGCTGTCCCTGCTGCTGGGCTCCTGTATCTTAACAGCTCCGTCCAAACAGACGCTGCGGCAGACAGTGGATTTTCCTAGGCGAGTGAAGGTTTGAGGTCGTTCGTTTATTTTGCAAAGCTGGTCCCTTAATTCGTGGCTCAAGGAGGCAGCCAGGAGGCCACCTCCCGAATCTGAATTGGTCACTCTCTGGAAAAGACTGGAGACAGAAGGGGACCCGAGGAGCCAGCTCCCTTTGGCCTTTTCTAAAATAAAGCGAGTGATCAAAACCCACCTGACTTTCCCCCCAGACAGCCCCAGTTTGAAATCCCGGGCCGGTGAAAGGAGCCTCTTCAATAAACACACATTCTCGTCAGGCTCAGTGGGTTTCTTTCTCAAGCGTGGAGTTGCGATGACATGTGTGCAAACCTGCACCGGATTCCCTTTGCCTCAAACGGCCACTCGAGGTGGCTCAGAGCCCTCCCTCCACGCGAGGCTGCTGTCAGAGCACATTTAAGTAAATAAAATGCTCATTTAAAAACTTAAAGCTGCCTTTTTGGGTCCTTCGGGTCCTTGACCCACCCCCCCAAAATATATATATATATATATATGTGGTAGGCTTTTGTGACATTCCAGAATCACTATAATGCATGTAAATTTGGGTGTCAGCGAGTGTCGAGTTAAAATAACATAAATGGTAATGATCATAGCACTTTTTATTTTGCAGGACTTTACAGTTTATAGAGCAATTTGACATTCAGTTCCCCGTGGTTCAGAATCTGCCTTCGAGCCTTTTAGGGTAGAAAGTCTAACTTTCCAGGGTCCGAGAGTGAACTGGGCTCAGAAACACTAACCTTTGCTAAGAACGTTCTCAGGAGACTGTCAATGGAAACCTCCATGTTGTTTTAGTCATTCCCAAGAAGTGTCTCTGCGTGCCCCCAAGCTTGTCCCCAGTGCCACTGTGACAGCCTGCTGACATGTGAAAGGGGTAAAGGATAATTAAAACCTGAAACTGGACGAAGGAAGTCTATACCTTAGGCCTAGTTTCTGGAACCCCTAACCGCATTCTGTTAATCATGAAACTTGTAACAATGAGCTCATACGCTAACTGCCAATTTTAGCCTGTGTAACCCTGCTTGCTTGCGTGGCATGAAAAATAATCAATTGTATATAAGCTGAGAATTACTGTTTGGCCATCGCCCATGAGGATACTGGCTATTGTCCATGGGAACATAGGCGATCACCCATGGGAACATAACATTCTAACAACAAGCTTTCTGCTTCTGTACTTCCCGCTTGCACACCTGACCAGTGGGTTGACAGGTAGTGAATAAGAGAAAAATAGACCTTTGTGTTTAAGATAGAATGAAGAATGGGATTTAGGGCTTAAAAACCTTGTATCTTGGCATTTCGGGGCTGCTCCTTTGTACAGGACAGCCGCCGGCTAATAAACAGCCTTTGAGAGCATACTCGGTTTGGTCTATTCTACACAGGCCACAACACCACCATCGTCTCCTCTTCCTCCCAGTGAGGACAGATCGGGGAGAACACCCAGCTCACGGGGTCACCTGTGTGTTAGCCAGGTACCTCCTTCAGGCTGCAAAGAGGAGACACACCCGGATTATGTGACAGTTGGGGGTGGTGGTCGGGATACCCGGGGAAGAAGTCACGCCTCAGCTGCCCAGTGCCAGCCCCAGAACTTCTGAGGCTGGCTGAGAGCTCAGAAGTCCTCAAGGAAGACATGTACGTGGCCAGCTCTTGTTCCGGGGGAGAACACCTGTCATTCCAGCCCTGTGCTGTGCTGAGCATTGAGGAAGAGTCTCTGATCCCTAGAATTCAGAGTCCAGGAAGGATTTCATCAGTAAACAATTCAGTTACAAGATGACAGGAGCCCAGCGGGGGAGGAGAGCGGAGGTAGGAACTCTTGGAACCTTCTGGACACTGGGCCTCCACTTCAGGCCGAGATGCTGAAGCTCGACTGATGAGGGGCTTTTTGCTAAAGAAAGAAAAAGTCGGGGAGAGAGTAAACAGAGAACGTGACTGAGTTCAGTTAAGACCGGGAAGCAGAGGGCAAAGTCCGGGTTCAGGGAGAGAGCTGGGAAGGTAAACAAGCCCCGATGGGAGAAAGAATTACACTGTGTGGACAAGAATATGGACTCCATCCAGAAGACACCCCCTCCCCGCCCCCGAAAATGAGTAACATTATGTACTGACGAGAAGAGAAATTGCATGGCTGCAAACGTGGGAGATGTGGCAACTTTTCATTTGTCCACACACTTATACCTTTTGCATTTTGAACCGTGAGAGTGATCTATTCCAAATATTCGAAACTAAAATTATTTTAAAATATATTTTTAAATTATCCTATTTAGAGTGAGCGTGGCAGTGTGCTAGGCTCTGAGTGAGCAAAACCCATCCGACCAGCTTCTAATCTGTGAGATGTTTTCAAAGCTTTATATCTTTGGGTAGATTTCAAAAGATGAATAAACTAATAATTATAACATAAACAAAGTGATTGTTATACTAGAGATATGGCTTAGAACTTTGAAAGCATAGGTTGGGAGTAGGCAGCTTGCTACGGCCTGAAGGCTTGGGGAGGAGGTATTACGTAAACTGGGTTTTGGTGGGAGGTAATCTGTAAACTGGGTTTTGAAGAATGTGTAGGAGGTTTTTTGTTTGTTTTGTTTGTTTGTTCGTTTGTTTTTAATGGAAAAGAGAGGAAGAGCACTTCAAAGAGAAATAGAATTTTCTGAAAGAGCCTGAAGTGTTTTTGGAGGAAAATAGTTTTGAATGCTGATCAGGGCGTCATGGGAATTATAGGAGGTGAGGCTCTCGGGCAGGGAGAGACCAAATTGCGTGGGCTTTGCAGGTTGTAGTAAAGAAGAAGAATCTCTTTCCTAAAAACTTCAAATACACCCTCATGGATGTTGGCATTCTGGAAGCTGGGGAACCATCTTTGGATAATTAATGTTTTTTCCCAAATAGCAGGGAAAAAAAAAAAGACAATGAAAAATTTTTTTTAGATTTTGAGATTTTCCTCCCATTAAAACCTCCTACTTTTTGCTGGTTAATATAAGAAGTAAAAATAAATCACTATAATGTGCACGCATAAGTGGGAAAACTCAGAAGTGAGTGAATAAGCCTGTAGCGTTTGCTCCTCGTCTGGTGTAGTCATAGTTGTGATTGTTATATTTCATATAAAATGTTACCGAGATTGTTCCTCACGCATGCGTTGGGATGAACTGTTATTCATGTTTCGCTTTTCCCACAGAAATGGAGCCTTGCTGACAGCCTGCAGCCCCAAACCCTGGCCTGCCTCCCGCTTTCCTTGGCTTACACACTCAGTTTTGTTTTTGTTTTTGTTTTCGTTTCTGTTTTTGTTTTTTTCCAATAGGGAAGTATCTAGTTTGTCTAGCAAACCAAAATATCTGGTAACGGGAGCTGTATATTCTTCGTGACAGCGATCAGCTGGGCCTGAATGGAGCCCGTTCCCTCGGGATGTCGCCCCCAGCACGTAATGCCCCAGCTCCTGCCCTCCCTGAGTTCAAGCCAACCCCTCTGGGTCCCCCGCAGTTGCTCCGGGTTTCCACCAGGGGGCGCTGCCACCAGCGTTTGGGAGAGCAGGGCGGGGAGGGGGAAGTCCTTGCCCCTGGTTCTCCCGGGCAGCGAGAGGAAGTCCTCTTTTCCTTCCTGGCCAGCAAGTCCCAAGGCACAAACCTCCCTTAACCCAACTCGGTGTAGAGTGGAGACTAAGACTTACTCGGAGGCCAAATATTTTGAAATAGACGGAGGAAAGAGGTCGAGATGTGTCTGCCACAGCCAAATTCTTCATTGCAAGGTGGCCTTCCATCGGCTGGGCCTCGCGTGTCCACCCGTGTGTCTCGGACACAGTAAAATCTCAGTTTATATTCGGTCAACAAATAGACGATGCCATGAATTCCCTGGGCCTCCACCTGGATGGGGGGGCCAAGGTGCAGGGGCTCGGGCTCGTGACGCCGAGGGCCAGGGACCTTCTCGCCTCTGGCCAGCCTGGTCCCGGGCGTCCCTCAGGCTCCTTCGCTGGCCATGACCATGAGTCTCTGCAGCTCTGATTTGGAGGATGTTATCGGCCAGGACGCAGAGCGCGGCTTCCTCTCCTCGTCTTCAGTGGCTTTTCCTCAGTGTTTGTTTTCTTTGGCTGCTGCGGAGGGATTAGCTTTTCATCTCAGCAGCATATGCCCTGCTCGGGGCGAAGGTGCGCGGGATACAGGTGTCTGGAGAGAAAGAATCTCCTCGCGTGGGGCCGGCCTTTCCGAAACATGCCCTTATAAAGTAAATGACCGTCGACATGTCCCTCCGACCTCCCTCCCTGCACTCACTCCCTCAGGAAAAAACTCTACAAAGTGCCTCCTCAGCCAGGGCTACTCACAAAATAACCTCTACTTCCCAGGCTCCCTTTCCTTCTGTTGATTTATGTAACTTGCCAAAGTCTTGAACAGCTTTTCTAAGTTCGACCAGAAAATTATGGCTCCAGTGCGATCGACGCCACGACACTGGGTCGTAAGCATTGGCGTGTTCCCTTTTGAAATCGAGATGCAGTTCACGCAGAAGGAGGACATCTGGCCGGTGTCCACCACAGCCCCCCTGACGATGGCATTGCCAAGCTTCCTCATTTTCGTCTTTTCTTCCATGAAATGTGAAGAAAACAAAAGCCTTTTCAGGTCCCTGAAATCCTCGAAGGTTTAAAAGAAACTCATGCACAGGTATGTGTGGGCCCAACAGACAACGCTGTGCCAGGCACAGTGGCTGCTGGAGGTGTTCGTGCCCACGTGCAAATGTCTGCCTCAGAGTGTGATCCCAGAGATGGCCAACTCTGTCCCCGCCAGAGGCGGCACTCTCCTCCCTCCTCTCTCGCCTGAAAGGCCACCAGAGGCTCACCTCTAATTGAATGACAGGGTGATGGGCAGGCAGCAAGCACTGCCTGTACTGGGCAGGGAGAGGGGAATTCTGCCTAATAGTCGGGGCCAGTTGTCATCTTGGAAGCCACACAAAGTCTAGTGTATAGACCTGCCGGACCAGAGCAGGAAAAGCAAGCGGTCGGGTTCTACCTAGAAGGTGAGCAGGGCCAGGAAGGTCGCTTTGGGGTCTTCTGGATCTGTAAGGCTCGACACCTTAGTGAGGCCTCGCTGCCTTTGTTTCCATGTTTAAGTAACGAGGATAATGATATGTCTCTGGCTTGCTGTGAGGATCGAACCACGTGTGGCACTAAGCGTCCAGCAGGCCTGCACTTACCTGCAGCGTGAGTGCCACCCCCCTCCATGGTGCCCTGCACATAAGACACGCCCCACCCCCGGGGGGCCTGGAATGTGCCTTTGGGCAGAGTCCGGTGCCGGGAAAGAGACATCTACAGGGACCGTGTGCTCAGTAGCCTCTGCCAGTTAGGGACTGGGCCAGTCAGTCCCTAACATAATGCCCAGGCTCCAAAGCAAAAATGACAACAACAGCACAGGAAATACTGTGCAGAAAACCCTGGGACTTGGCCTTGAACATCATATTTCTGGCCCGGCAGAGAGGCATTGTGCGAACTAAGTAAACATTGTAGTCTTGGCTTTGAGCTCAAAAGACTTTCAGCACCCTTCTGCTCCGCCCCCCCCGCCCCCGCCCTCTGCTGCCTTCTCCGTTGCTCTCGCTGGAATCCGAGAGAATTCTCTGATTCTTCTCTCTCCGCCACCCCTACAATCGCCTCAGCAAATCCTGCCACTTGGTTTTTTTCGATAGTCTCCAGGGAGCCCACACCTTCCCATCACCCCTGGCGACAGGCTGTCTCTCCAGAACCACCTGCAGCCCCTGCCTGTCCTCTGCCCCAGCAATGCCCACCCCAGGCCCAGCCTGTCACCCTTTCAGCTAGGGGGGTCTTTTCAAAGCATGGAATTGACCCCATTGTCCCTCCCCCATCCCCACGAAGGACCTGTCAGAAGTTTCCCCTCGTTCACTGCCACTGCTGAGGTCCCCAGGGCCCCTTGTGGCCCCACTGTCCCCTCTTCGTGGGACTGGGCCACTCCCCTGCATGCTGCTCCAGCCACAGGGGCCTCCCTTCCTCAAACACGTGCTGAGCTCCTGCCCCGCCCACCTCAGGAGTCCCTGACAGCATTCTACAGCCTCCCCCCAGCCCTCGGAACACTGTCCCGTGGCTGTCGTGTCCTCTGAGGGGCTGCCCGGCCACCCCCGCTGGAGGCTCTGGTCACCTGGCTTCCTTCCTCCTTCGCAGCCGATGCATCTGTCCCTCTGCTCTCGTCTGCCCCTCACGAGGAGGTGAGGGGCAGGCAGCACGGCCTTGGGTGCTGTGTGCTGTCCCTGCTCAGTGTCCGGCATGGGGCAGGTGCTTGATGGACAACTGTCTGGGTGACTGACTATGCGAAGGAAGGGATTGAGAACTGAACGACAGCGAACCACCCCGCACCGTTCCGACTCTGACTCTCCCAGACGCACTGCCTTGGGGCGTGAGGAGGGGCCCCAAGCTGAGACGCACACAGCTGACCTTGGGCTGGCTTAGAGCCCCAGCAAGTCCCACGGGCCCTTGAGTGCTGAGCCTCCCCCCGGGCCAGCTCGGTCGTCTGTCCTCATCTGCGCATCAGCAAAGGCCCACGGAGGTCCTACTAAGCGCCAGGCAGTGTCTCAAGCACTGAGGACGCAGTGGTGACCCGAACGGTCCCTGCTGTCACAGAGCTTACATCCGAGTGGGAAGACTGAGACCCCGAACAACAGGGCCACGCCCTCCGGTAAGCGCCAGGCAGTGTCTCAAGCACTGAGGACGCAGTATTGACCCGAATGGTCCCTGCTGTCACAGAGCTTACATCGGTGTGGGAAGAGTGAGACCCCGAACAAGCAAGGAACTGATGGCGAAGCAGACGCAGAGCGGGACAGGTGCTCCCGGGGGGTGGAGGGCCACGCCCACCGGTGGAGGAGGCGGGGCTTGGGCAAGGTCCCCGCTCTCTCCGTTTCCGTCTCTTTGTCCATGAAATGGACCGATGACACCGTAGGGCCCTGTTAACGCACCTGGGGTCCCGCCCTCACCTGCTCAAAGCCTGCGATGGTGCCTCAAGAGCCATGGCTGTCCCCAGCTCCCTGAAGTCACCCCCGCCCACTCTGTCCCCCAGCTCCCTCGGGGCATCCTGCTGCCTCTCAGTCAGGCGACTCCGCTCACTTCCAGATCATGCCTAGGGCAGCACGTTGCCCAGGCGACCGAGCTGTCTGGTCAGGGGCCCGCCCTTCCTGCCGCCCACACGCACCTTCCACACACACGGGACAGGACGAGGGGCGCTGGGGGCAGCAGCAGGTGTACTCCGCGTGACTTTCCCAGGGTTGGCGGTCACACGGGGAGCCCTCGCTCACGGCTACTTCCTGTTCCTGCCCAGGCCCCACGCGCTCTCTCTAGAGCTTTATGTTTCGTGTTGGCTAATTTTGCCTCAGAGGCACCACCAAACTTCCTGTAGGAATCCAGCCTATTTCCTTCCTTTTCCTCCTTCTTCCTCTCCCTCCCTTTTCATCCCTCCTTCCCCGACCACTTCTCCAGCACCTACTATATGCAAACATCACGGAGGAATCACGTGTTAACGACCAAGTCTAATATGGAGCAGAATAAAATGGCTCTAGGACTCTAGGACACACATGACGCCACCATGTCCAGAGCAACGGATCCATTTCGGCAGCTGCGATCAGGGAAGGCTTCACGGAGGCAGTGGCCTTGAGCTGAGACTTGAGAGAGAAGCAGAGATCCCGGCCCAGGGCTGGGACGCGGCTGACAGAAGGGCTGGGGCAAAGGTCAGGGGGCGGCCTCCCCCGGCCAATCCTGGCCGGTTCTTCTGCCCAGGGAACATGGGCCGGGAGGGCGTGGCGGGATTGGGGAAAACTCCAGAAAAAGAACTTGCTGCCTCTCCTGACCTTGGATGGAGGCTGCTGGGGAAGCAGGTCCTATTGTTTCTCTTTCCTCCCGGGGGCTGCTTGAGAGGAGGTGGCTGAAGGTCGAGAGGGGGCAGGCAGAACAGGGGACGGACCCCGGGAAATAAGAGATGAGCAGCCATCGAAGGGGGGTGGGGGGGGAGACCATTCCTCAGACGCAGACCGCCAGGGGGGGAGGACAGGCCGCACTCTGTCACCGAGGATGGAGCGTGGCCTGCCCCGAGAGGAGCAATGGCAGTTCAGAGCCACACAGCAAAGCTCTCTTCTGCGAGCAGGAGGCAGGGGGTCCCGGGCCCCTTGCCCCTCCGACCCGTGTTGGCCTAGGGCGTTCTCACACCCTGCCCAAGTGCGCACGGAGCCCAGGGCCTCGGCGGGGCTCCAGGGCAGGCGCTCAGCACGGATTTGCTGGGTGAATGGATGGCCACGAACAAGAGACTCCTGGGTGGTTAACGGAAGCGCAGATTTGCCTTCCCAGTGCTCGGGGTTGTCACTACGGAGCGAGCTGGTCCCCTGCGTGTTTGCAATGAGCCACTGCGGAGAGACCTGCCACCCCTCCGAGAGCCCCCGGCCTTCCCATCGGTCCCCAGGCAGCTTGCTTGTCCCCTGAGCACTGTGAATGGGGAGCTGACAGGACTCCTGCATCCCCACGTCACAGAGAAGACAGCTTGGGTCTTGGGGACCAGCCACCCAAGCGAGTTCAGGGTCTTCGCTTTGGAAGAGAGAGAAAGCTCCAAACAAAACCCTTCCTGTCATCCAGCCACCCTGCCCCCCGCCACCTGGGGGATGAACTTTTCCTCCCTGTCCTCCGCAGCCCTGACCCTCCCTCCCCTGAAGCTCCAAGTGGGTCCCTTTTCAAGCTAAGGGACAGGGGGCGCTCTAACCCCCAGGCAAACCTAGAGGCCACCCTCAGAGGAAGGATCAGTTCGAGGCGAAGAAGGAAAAACACCAACTGCGCCGGAGGCAGGTGGCGCCCCTTCCCTCTCTCCTGCTGTCTCTGGCTTCCCTTCCCCCCCTCTCTCCCTCCCACGGGTCAGGGGCGAAGGAAGAACACGTGATACCCTGCATACTCCGTTCTCAGCGCAACCCATATTTCGTCTTCCAAAGAACCCTCTAAAGCAGATACTATTTACTCTACAAACGAAACCCAACCCAACCCTGAAATTCCAAGGAGTTGGGGAACTTGTCCAAGGTCACGGGGCTGGAGGATTTGAAGCCAGGTGTGCCTGTGCTCTTGCTGTTCTGGGGGTGGCTTCCTGCTGGCCTAGGGCTCTGGCCTCTGGCCCCAGGGCCCTGGAGCGGGTGACAGAGGGCTGGCTGCATGGGAACAGTTACCAGTCGACAGGGATAGTAACCGTGGCGGTGGAAATCACACGAGGAAGTGGGAGAAAGTAAATGACATGCCCCCTTCCCCCCAACCCCCAGCCCTGGCCCCAGCCCCAGCCCCGCGTCCTCCCCTCTGTACCTTGACCTTGGCAAATCAGCAGCTAAGGAATCTCGGCATCTCAAAAACCCAGAGTATGATGAGCTGGTGAGTACCTCGACTCCTCTTTTAGAGGGTTTCCAGCTTCTTGGATCAGTATATGGGAACCGGGAACGCCAGCTGGATGTGATTACGGCTAACCCCCTCCTCCTCCTCACGGTCACTGGCCGTGCCTCAGAGGAAGCAGAATCGGTGGCAGCTGGAACGGGCGGAGAGCTCAGCCGTGGGTCCTGG